TGAACAGATCTCCATAGTTTTTTTTACCACTATTAATTTCCTATAGTTACTGTTATTGCTCGTCTGATTCTGAGTTTTAAAACACAGCACGCGCCATATCTATCTCCTCCTGCCTTTGGCTTCCCATCACGGGGGAAAAACACACCCGCTCAGCATCTCCTAACTAATCCATTACTGGCTCTACTGTGGTTACAAGGATTTTTTTTCCTTAGCCGATACCGCAGCTTGGCATCCCACAAGCCACCTGACCAATTCCACTAGGTCATCGTGGGCCCCAAAGCTTGACCCCGGGTGTATCTTAGAGTATATCTATTCGATATAAATATTTCACAGGCCCCCCATTCTGCGCCACTCAATCGTGACTACATAGCTAGGTGTGACTATTTCCACCACAAGACACAGACCCGAACACATTTAGAAATCCGAAACCATGCAAGACGAATCTACTTATTCCAACAATTAGCAACTTACTTTTTCCACAAAAAATTTAATTCTCAAAATTCACCAATTAATGACTTAATCGTTCAACCAATGAAGGCAAAAAGACAGAAATATGGCTTTTAAAATAAAAAAAATCCACATTCTTTTACAAAAATGGAAAAATGTCAGTTAATTACAATTAACAAAATAATTCTAAACTTGAAACATTTGAATGCACGCAAAAACATAGTCACAAAACTTTCAACTCTATAACAACCCATATAAATCATCGTGGGAATGCTACCATTACAAAATGCCGTCAGTCTTTCATTTTCAAAAAAAAAAAAATAAAATAAAATAAAATTACATTGCGTTCAGGCTTCCACGTGGCCAATCACCGAAACTGGTCAAATTTAATTCTTCAAGAAAAAAAAAAAAAATTCTTAACAGCGAATCTTTCATGGTCAGATTTTTTCCACAACAAAATAAAAATTAAAACTGCATCATATACCACATGAAATCACGCCAAACACGACCTTAGGCAAGATATTTAAAGCATGCCAATCAAAATCAAGCAATAGATTTCCGTACATGGTCTAAACTTTTGTAAAAAACAAAAAAACAAAATCAGTCTCTTACTAAAATGTTTCATGAAAATTGACATTGTCACATCAGTGTGTATTCGTGAATGTGGGTGTAGTGAAATGAAAGAAGGAAACCTTTCATTTTCTTACTTATCCTTTTTTTCTATTGTCTCTTCATATTAAAAAATGCCTTTTTCTCATTTTTTTCATCATTTCTTCCTATTTTGGTTTGTTGCTTATATTTGTGTGTGTGTAGCAGAAGAACAAAGTAACATCATCTTACTTACAAACTGTCCAATATGTCTAGACTACTTGTTTTTTCATATCCCCACCTTTTTTTGAGTCCTCCGTCGAAAATCCCCGAACTTCTCCATGTCTTGTTTCAACTCTAGTTCATTTGCCTCTTTCCTAGTTGGAAGGAGCTGGTCACTGCGCACCAAATAACGTATATGTTGTATAGCCCCCTCAACGCTGGGGGGAGTAGTCTTGGGGCGACGTTCTTGATTCACTAATATGTTGCTTTCTTCCTTCTGTCATCTTCCGGGTGGATGATCGCTTGTTGATTTGGTCGGAGGTAAAATGAGAACTTCAACAAAAGGGATTTTGACTTTTTTTTTAAAAAACCAAGCCCGTGGGGTCGCTCTGTTACCCTCACTGGGGAGCAAGTTCCCCGGGACACGAAATAACCACGTCTATTGTGTATGACGTGTAAAAACTTACACCACGAAATAACTTTCTTTCTCTTTAATAATCCCACATTCAGCTCAGATAATCAAAATCGAGATCCCTATTTTGTCTACCACCTGACCCCAAGGTCATCCTCAGAAGGTCTGAACCAAATACACTATCACTAAAAAATAATAATAGCCTAAAACTATTATTTAACACCTCTTTGGAACCTTAATTTTACGAACTTAAGCCCACTACTAGATTGGCGGCAATCATCATTTTACAGCTGAAATGGCTAGGTGTAACCGGAAGTTCTATGCTAGCATTTCCCTCCTCGAACTTCTCGCTTGTGGAACTCTCTTTCAGCTTGTTTCTTTCAAGTCAACTTTGATCTTCAAAATTTTAAATGCAATGTCACTTGTCATCTTCCGTCGCCCGGAATCCTTGAGTCCGCTCTCTTTAATAGTGATTTTTCTCACATTCATTTACTGTCCGTAAACCCTTGCGTCTTAGTGACTTCATCTGTTTACTTGGGGTGAAATGATTATATATATATACCTAAATTGTTTGTAACATTTTTTTTTATTTAAATATATGGTAGGCCAGGGTTTGGGAGAAATAGCAAAAGACAAAACTCATTAAGAGCTACAAGGGACAGGAAGATGTGGAGGGCTATGATCACCTACGTTCTGAAGGGACACGGCACATAAATAAGAAAACCCATTAACAGCTTGTTTTACGTTGTGCGATTTTCAAATTTATGTGTATGTATGTGTATATGTGTATGTATGCATGCATGCGTGTATATGTCTGTGTACATGCCTGTGTTTTTTGTGGAACTGCTTTTGGGACGTGTTTCAACTGTTGTTACTTGAGTGACTTAAATCTCAGAATTATTTATTTAAACAAGGTATCAGATGAAGCACGGAATATATATATATATATATATATATATATATATATATATATATATATATACATACAGGGTCTATCAAAAATATATTTACAAACTTATATTTACGAACAAAAGTCCATATAAACATATATGTGCAAATCCTTCGATTTTTAATTATTAAGTTTAAAGAAAGTTTACGGTAGATGACGCTGTGTTGCCATGTAGACTAGGTTACATTTGTCATTCGTGTACATTTGTGGCTAGTCTGTCTTCAACATTTAACGTGTATAGTTGTGAATTAACTGAAAAGTGTTCAGTTTAAAAATGGAAGGACATTCATATCGTGAGCAGGCAGATATGTTTTTGTGAAGGCCGCGCGAATGGTAATGGACGCGAAGCTGCACGGCTGTATCAGATCGCATTTCCAGACCGAAGGCAGACGAGTCACCCAACTTTTGCTGCTGTTTATCGTCGCGTTGAGACAGGATCCGTGGCACCATAAACTATGGATTGAGGAAGACCAAGATTCGCTCGTACGCCTGACCACGAAGAACACATTTTACAGGCTGTCGGAGACAATCCCGGTATCAACACACGTCAAGTGGCCCTAGCATGTCGAACATCCTATAGTACTTTAAGAGCAGCTCCTGTATCCGTATCATTTGCAATGTGTGCAGGGTCCTTCATTCACCACGGTAGAACTTGGTTCGCCAGTCAATAATCCGATGGGTGAATGTCTGGGTAGATGCAAGCAGGGGACATACTGAACATTTGTTATGAGTTGCTGAAGTATAACGATGGTCATTTGGGCATATATTTATATGAACATTTTACCCACCCCAAAGTTGGTAAAATAAAAGTATTTTGATACACCCTGTATATATATATATATATATATATATATATATATATATATATATATATATATATATATATAACAGAAGCCATTGGTTTATACCAACGGCTTCCCATATAATACTTCTCGAATGCACTCTCGCGTGGTCATTTGTGACATCATGAGCTGCGGTGCGATTTTCGGTTCTAGCGTCTTATATGCACGTGTTTATCGTTGCTTGAAATCATCCATGTAAACAATAACAGACTATCATCACTGCCTTGTCCGTATATTGCTTAATATATTGTACAGTAATTGATATCTTTGATAATGGCTTATGTAAGCCGAAAGCTTAGATTGGATTAAAAATATGGATCAATATTGTGATTTTCTTTTTTCGTTTAATGATAATATTATTAAGCTTATCAGACGTTATGAAAGAATTTACATAATAGACAACATTTAATGAAACATGTATGAATATATATATATATATATATATATATATATATATATATATATATATATATATATATATATGGGGTGCGTAAATAGTAGTTAGACCATTAGTATTCCGAGAGTGAAGCCCGTGTTCGATTTTTTCATCAGGGTGGATTTGTGAGGAGGTAACTTCTTGATAATATCGACTTCCTGGTGGAAACGTTTCTATCGTTATGAAGGGACTGAAAACCGTACCATAGGTTGACCAAAGACTTGTGAGTGAAATTGGGTCGACGGAACTGTTCGAAAACCATCGATGTTTGTGCTAGCACGAAGTCACAAGCCATCGGGACCGAGAGTTTGAATGTAGTGGCCTTGTTCACACTGTTGATCACAGCAGATTATGCGCTCTCCCCCAGAAACCGCAAGGTCTTCACAGCATTGTTGTAGCATAAACGACGGGTGTCGAAGAAACACAAATGTTTCCTCAACAGGGATTTGCTAGCTTCTCTACTAGATGGGTGTACTCGGAAAAGAACTGCCAGATATTATCATATGTACAGACATCATGGTTTATAATTATTTGTACGCTAAAATAAATTCATGGCGTAATAGAACAATCTTAAAGACAATTATTAATATCGTACGTTCGATTCTTACGAGGTGAACCGCAAAATTTGTGGCTTCATAAGCTAAAGTCAGTAAATACCTACTACAGTGACTGTGTATGTATGTATGGACATACGTAGTATGCGATAGAATTTGAACAAAGTAAAAATAACTATGTGTATATTTGAAAGAAGAAAAAAAGAAAAAAAACACCCGCTAGACTCGAAATCAGATCCTCGGGCGTACGATGAAGCCGTAAAATCTGAACGTGTCGCACTTAGCCTCTTTGCTTTTCCAGTCATGTAATAAAAGACAATGTTATCGGGCGTGATGCGATGATATATTTCCCCGTAGCGCCTGGCATCGACAGTCGACGGACAACGGAGAAAAAAGAAGGCACATTTTAAATCGCTTAGTGATAACTTACGTTAACATTTAAGACATTTAACTTTCTGTTCTTGTCTTCTAAGTTTCCTCTTAAAGTTTATTATAACTGATATGGATTTTCTCTTCATCCTAACCACTTTGAACCACTGACTCGCTAAAGGTTCTCCTTCTCTCTTTCTTGTCTTATTCTTTGACTCCAACCATTTCTCGCTTCATCAAAGATAGTTTTTTTTTTTTTCTTTTCTTTTATATCCAATCTTATCGTTTCATTTTTTTTTCTTTTCTTTCCCATCTTCAGGGTTCTTTTTCGTTTTTTTCTCACTTTTCCTCCTCCTCCTATTTTACTTTCTCAGCATATCTTTATTTATTTATCACTCCTCCTTCTTCACTGCTTATTGTTTTTCTTTTCACTATTTTATTCTATTTACTTATCTCTCCTCATGCAGATGTCTTCTTTCTCTTCTCTCATCATCGCCGCCCTCTTCGCCTTGTATTCTTCTCTTTCACTCTAATCTCTATAGTCTCTTCCTCTTTTTTTACCATGTTTTATTCTCTACTTCTCTTTATATGTTGTTTTAAAACTGAAAATAATCAGACAGAAACTATTTTTCTTTTTTTACTGTCAAAAATGCTTTATACTGATTTTTACGATCTTTCTTCACTCATTCCAATTAAAACTTATTTTTTACTTTTCGGAATTCTTATTTATTTTCTTAAATTTTTACTTCCGGGCAGATCTTAATTTTTTTTACGTTATCTTAAGACATTTTTTATTTTCTCCCTCTCTCTCTCTCTCACTGTTTTATTTTCTTTTAAATTGTTTTTCTTTCTTCCATGTTTTACATCCTTTCTTTGTTTCTTTCTTTTTGCGTCATTTCTGCTAAATTTATGTCAGTCTTATTCATTTATTCCCTCATTCTTTTTCTTTTGCGTCTTTCTTTTTCTTTTTCTGCTGATAATTTCTATCAACCTCATTTATTTATTCATTCATTCTTTTTTTTTTCATGTTTATTTCTTTCTTTTTTCATACTTTCTGTGGATTAATTCTATAATTCTCATTCATTTATCACTGCTTCTTTCTTTTTTTACTCACCTGTTTAATTCCTCTTTCTCATCTCCTCTTCTTTTTATTCCATCTTTTAGTTTCCCATTCTACTTTGTATAATTACCACAACTCAATTCCTCTGCCTATTTTGTCCTGATAAAACTTATTTTAACGATGATTTTTCTTCAATCTCCTCCATTTTTGCACTAACTTTTTTTTCTTATTCAACATCTTTTTGATTCCTTTTTCTACGTTTTTCTCGTCCTTGCTTTCTTTCGCTTTCCTCTTTTCTCATGTAACTTTTACTTTATTTTTCTCAGTATTTCTTCTTCTCGTCTTTGAGTGATTTTACATTCGGTTTTCGAAATCCTGATGTTTCCCGTTCTTGAACACAGATCACTGACACTGGTAGGAAATACTCAGATATTAAAATTGCTAAACATGCTTAATCAGCTTCCTTTTTTTAAAATTTCTTTTCTTATTTTCTCGACTACTTTCTATGACCCTTCTCTATTCCTTTATTTTCCATCATTCTCTTTTCTGCTTCTCACTTTGGCATCTTTCTTTTCTTTTTTCGTCCTTATTTTTGCCTTTTGATCATATTTCGTTTACAGTCACTTTTTCATTAATTTTCTTTCATTCTGTCTTTCCTCTTTCTTTCTTTCTTTCTTTCTTCTTTTTTTGTTTCTTTCTTTTCTTTTTACGTCATTTCTGCTGAGAATTTCTATCAGTTTCATTCTTTTTCCTTTTCATGTTTTTTTTCTTTCTTCAACCTGTATTGGTTTACATTACATTTCTTTCTTTCTTTCTTTCTTTCTTTCTTTCTTTCTTTCTTTCTTTCTTTCTTTGTCTTATTATCACATGATTTCTTCGCGTTTCTAATCTTATCACCGCCTTCTGTTTTGTCTTTTGCCGTCGCCATTTATCGTACAAAACCTTTGGGTCCACTTTATGTTTCAACGCATTTCCTTGTATCAGGGAAAAATTAAAGTAATCTGTTTCCTGGACGAAAAGGGAGGGGGAGGCAAAAAGGGTGTTGTTGGCTTGTCGCCTATGTTGCCAGTTCCTTCTACCATCGAATTCCTTCAACCTCTTCCCTCACAACCATTAGTGATGAAATAGATGTATATCAGTGTCCACTGTGCTGCATTTAGGCTGTGTATATGTGTGTGTACATATCTTTCGGTATACATTAGCTTACGGATATCTGTGGATGACTATATATATATATATATATATATATATATATATATGTGTGTGTGTGTGTGTGTGTGTGTGTGTGTGTGAGCATATTTTTCTAAGGATTCTTTTATTATCTTACATTATTTCTTATTGTTATAAAGGTTTTTTTTTAGCGGGTACACATGTTTGAGCCTGCTATTGCTGCTTTTTTTTTATTTCGTTAAACTGAAATTAATAACAACCGGTATAAATTCTAAAGGCCTACTAAAGAAACATTGTGAAAAAAATATATATATATATATATATATATATATATATATATATATATATATATATATATATATATATATATCATCATCCATAAGTTCTGTACGAATTTTGAATAAAGAAAACAAGTGACCAAATGTTATATGTAATTACAGATTCAATCAACAATGTATTTTCCCTGATTATCTATGACTTCCTTCCATCTATTTACAAGTTTACTAATTCCATTAATGTAAAATTCTTTTGGCTTTGATTCGAAGAACTCCCAAATGGCAGTTTTAACCTCTTCCTGTGTTACAAAAGCTGTTTCTTCCAAATGATACTGTAAGCTACGAAACAAATGGTAATCTGAAGGAGCAAGATCGGGAGAATAAGGTGGATGAGGAATTTTCCCCCAAGCAAGTTCTTCGATCTTTTGTGACGTGATTCTTGCTATGTGGGGTCGCGCATTGTCCTGATGAAACATCACCTCTTTTCGATTCACTAGAGCAGGTCTTTTTTTTCCTCAAAGCTTGGTTCAAACGCTCTAATTGCTGACAGTATATTTGAGCATTACTTGTTGCATTAGGTGGTAAGAATTCAAAGTGGATTATTCCTTGGCGATCCCACCAGATTGAAAGAAGAACCTTTTCCCCATAAAGTTCCCTTCTCGGCCGTGGCTGGGGTCCTTCCCCTTTACCAAGCCACTGTCTACAATGCTTAACATTTCGATAAAAGATCCATTTTTGTCGCCAGTCACAATTCTATCCAAAAAAGGTGAAACAAGTTGGCGAGAATGGAGAGAAGAGCAGATGTCAACTCGGGATTTGAGGTTGTTTTCAGACAATTCATGAGGCACACATTTTCCAAGTTTAGGAACTTTTCCAAGGTGTTGAAGATGACGATGAACAGTTGTATGGTTTGAACTGAGAACCACTGACAATTCCTCAACTGATAAAGCAGGATTTTCTTCAAGGGCTGCTTCAAGAAGCTTTTCATCAAACTCAACTGGACGTCCGGTTCGATCTTTATCTTCAAGGGTGGAATCTCCACCTCTGAATTTTGCAAACCATCTTCCTCTCCATAAACTGAGTGAATGTTTCTAGCCGCTTCGGCTGCTGAGTTCCCTTTCTTGAACTCATAAAGCATTATGTGCCTCAAATGATTCTTGGGTACTTCCATATTAACATGGTTTTAATCAAACAAAATTTAATTTTATTGTTCTCTGAAATTTGATCAGTTTAAATGCATCTAAACATAAACATAATGTTCATCTCCATTAGACATTATAAAATACTCTTTAAATTTCGTTCATTTTACCCAAAAAATTTAAAATTTGGACAGAACTTATGGGATGAACTGATATATATATATATATATATATATATATATATTTAGTTAAACAAACTTCAGTAATCCGTATGGGTAGACCCGAGGAGGATGATATCCAGAGAGCTCAATGTAAAATTCAAAAAGATATGTTTGAATAAAAAACAGACCCGTTAAGATTCCATGTAATAAGTCTCTTTCACCAAAAAACCCGACATTAACAGGCTTCTGGATCATCAGACTTTACTTAAAGCTGAAATGAAAAATGAAAAAAGAAATTTAAATTTTGACGGACCTCATCAATTTTACGTAAAATTGTTGAAGTGAGAAAAAAACGTAAAAGAGGATATTTTGTCATTTTTCATTTCAATTCCTCTGGGGTTAAAAATTTTTTGGATATTTAAAGTTGATGATTCCAGAATTGTTAAAGGGGTTATGGTGAGAATAGCTTATTACATGGAATCTTAAAAGGTCGATATTTATATTTATATATATATATATATATATATATATATATATATATATATATATATATATATATATATATATGGTGGATTCTACCGTCGTATTCGACGTATGAGGGTCAAGCAGCTCAGTTTCTATGAACGGACAGCCCAGACACCAGCAGATTTCATTTCATTATAGTGGTGAAGGTTTCATGCAGGACCAGCCACACTTTTTGAAAGGCCGAATTCAGAGACCTGGTGCACTCCGTGCCACAAATTCCCCAAACGACACTCCACAGGTTTTGAATTCAGAGTTGTTCTTCTCCTAGACCAGTTGCCAGACAAGGTTATAGAACCCAGTCTGTCCTGGTATTTAACCATAGATGGAGGGAGAAGAAAAGGATTCATACCTTTCCCAAGGGTAGTAGCACGGAAGTGAATGTAATGGATTCGACTGGAATTCGAACTCGGCTCTTCGATTCCTCAAACCGTGCCGCTATCTACCGTGCGCGTGCGCGTGTGTGTGTAATTGTGTATTTGGGCAGCAATCCTTCTTTTATACAAGTTTCATTAAAGTCGGCTGACAAAGAACTGCTATTAAGCATTTTATTTAATTTTTCTTCTGTTCTTATAAGTGTTTTCTTTTCTGGACATAAAGTATGTAAAAATTGTCCAAATGTTCTGCGTATCCGAGCACTTTCGGCTATTCTATTAGGGATTATCGGGGATGCTATTTTTTTTTTGTTTTTAACTGAATGTGTGGATTTTTAAAAACATGTGAGTGATTGCAATGTTTTTTTTTTTTTGTTTTTTTTTTATTGTGTCCGTGTTCACAGTTGGTGTGAATGGCAGCTTTTTTCTTTTTTTTTATTATTATAGCTTCCATTATTTTGTAGCCATTTTACATGTGGATGAGGCTATTATACTTGTATTTTTTACAAGTAAGTTATGGTTGAAATTTGATAGGTTACTTTTTGTGTTTAATTGAGTCCTAATTGAACTATGGTCAGTACATACACACACAAATATCTATATTAAGACATTTTTATGTTTATACGAATATTTATTTTAAAATTCCTCGAACATTCAGGTCGGTAAATGTCGTTAATACCGTTTATTATAAACAAAATATTTACTTAAATATTTGTATCTATAAAAAGAACGTATAAATATAAAAAAATGTCTTAAAATAATTTTCGGACTTTGTCCATTTCATAATATATATATATATATATATATATATATATATATATATATATATATATATATATATATATATATATATGAGATGTAGTTCCTGCCACCAGCAAGCAGAGATATTTCTTCTCCTGATGATGGCCATGTCGGCCGAAAGTAGTCATGGAATCAAAATGAAATAATAATAATAAAAGCGAAAGAATATTAATCTACAACGCAGTGTGTCTGAAGATTTTAATTTTTTAATATTTTTATTGTTCTATATATATATATATATATATATATATATATATATATATATATATATATATATATATATATAATTTTTTATAAAAAAAAAAATTATAACATAAGTATGTTATAAAATCACTACAAAAATAGCCATTTGTTTCAACACACTCTGTGTCTTATCAAGTGATGATGTTGAAAATAAAATAAATGGTTTAAAAAGTTTCAGATTAATTAACGATCCTACACTGGGGGGAAACATTGTTACAAAAGCTAGAATAACCAATCAAAAACGAAGTACAGAAAGATTCAAAAGCTTGACAACAAAATCCTGCTATTATAGCTATTCATATCTTTAAATACGTGTAATATTAAAAATAATTTATACTAACTAATAATTATAAATTTATATGATAAAATTTAATATTAAAATTAAAAACTGGCAATTTTAAAATCCAAATTTAATCACTATTGATATATATATATATATATATATTTTTACAGATATATATATATATTTTACAGATATATATATATATATATATATATCTGTAAAAATAAAATCACATTTGTGCATGCACACGGACATCTCTACACATACATAGAATCATATGTCCTCTCGTAGTTTTAATTTTATTTGCCCCTTTCTCTTTTGCTTTTCTTCTTTTCTTCTGAGTAAGTAATTACATTTTTATCTCCATACGATACTTCTATCTATCTATCTATCTATGCTATTTATCAGTCGAATCTCTTTGCTTCAAAATATATAAAGTTTATTGCGTTGACTTACGTTCGTCTCGGGAGATGAAAGCCTGGGCAAGAAATATGGTGATCTCGCGCTGCCCAAGATCACATTTTTGGCGATGCCTGTAGAGTATAAGGAAGTATAAACTAATACAGTTTGATACCGATGCAGTTGTAGGAGTTGACCGAAGGTCATGCAGTATGTCATTCATTCGCTTTAAGGGCTCGAATCCGGTTTTGCGTAGGTTTTATTCATAGCCTAAAGTTAACCGCAAGATAGCCTAGTCTGTCCTGTTGGACCATTCAGTCTTGACCTTTTCAAGACAACGTTCAAGCTTTATCTATCCTCTTTATCCTCATAATCTCCTGTTCATACCATCTGTTCAATTCATTTCACACACCTCGTTCGACTATAATCCTCTACCTTGAGTGGCTCTCGAACCATGTATTGGTTGAAATTTAGTGAAAATAAAATAAAAAATAGCCGGAGGAAGACTAATGCATGCGTTT